GTATACCCTCAGCCTCAAGCCTAACTTGCACATGATCCCTAGAGGATCCATGCAAGACCCTGGAACGCGTTGATGATACGTTTTCAAATCCCATGACCCTATGCCCGAAACCCTTGTTTCGCGTAACTTCCGTGTCCCGCTTTTTCTTCTCCGTGGCAGATGTGCAAAAGGAGCTCAATTTACCTGGAGCTCCGCAGGGAGCCTCCTGTTCGATTGAGCAGAACCTTCTTCAGGTATAGGCTCATGGGCTTAGGGGCTGCTCATTTAGGGCTCAAGGTTTGTATAGGGACTATACTATGACCATAACCCTAAAGCCCCTAACGGCTGCCGTCTTTTTTACCCCACTCCGGATCGTTTCACTTGGTCACTATTGGCCTTGCGCAGAAAAGATTTGGCCGCTTTGGATTTCGGGACGAGGATATTTCGGTCTAGGACAGCCTTTGGTCGAAGATTCAAGGACCCTCCAAGTACCCTCAAATAGGGGTATATGGTTCCAAATTAAGGGTATTTAGGGTCTAATAGAGGGTAGATGGAGGGTCTAGGTTGTGGTGCTTCGCAACCCTACAGCCACAAGTTGCAGACTAAATAGAAAGTTAATGATACGCAGCAGTGTAGCTAATTCCCACAGCATTAGCAGCACTGACACACGGATGACCAAGTCGTAAAGCGTACTCACATATATTGAATCATGACTGCTGTAGTTGCCATCGCTGAAAATGACATCTTCATCACCAACATTCACCAACGGCTAAACCCTAAACCCTAAACCCTAAAGGTCGCGTGTCTCAAGATGCACACAGCCCTTGCAACGGTGCCCTTAAGCGACGCTCCTCAGTCCGACGCAGCCAGAGATCCACAAAGCTGTGCCTTCAGCCGAAGTAGGTCGTATCATGAGGGGTACCCCTCAAAGGGTACCCCTATATAACGGTTTAGGGTTTAGGGTATAGGGTATAGGGTCTGTTATTGGGTAGTAGTAGGGAGACCCCTTAAGGGAGACCCCTTCTGAACCCTACTTTTGGCTCTCTTAAAAGGGGCCTTATTGAGAGAGTCTATATCCCCAAGGGTCCTCCAAATCCTAGCTACCACGAAGCAGGTTCAAGTTTTCACAAAGCCAGCAGGAGCACGAGATGGGATGCTGGGGCTTTAAACCCTCGGCTGGGGGTTTAGAGTTTAGGGTTTAGGGTTTAGGGTTTAGGGTTTAGGTTCCCAAACACTCGAACCCTAAAGCCCACAAGCCCACAGCGTCCTTACGCCCTAGTCCAAAACATTAGAATCCTAAAGCCCACAAGCCCACAAGCACTAAACGCAACAGCCCCCAAACCCCTCAACAAACCTTGATTATTATACTACAACTATAATTAGAAGGAACCCATAAGGAACCCCCCAAAATATTATTGGCAGTTATTTAGGCCCCTGCATGAAACAAAAAAACGTCGTTTCCATGGCCTGCTCTCCGACGTCAGCTGCGCAAGTCTGAGGCCTGGGCTTTGTGGGTGTTACTCGGTTGGTTTTTGGGACATTTTTGATTTTCCCTATTTGGGTTTATAAGGGACCCTTTATGGTTTTTGGGGACATTTTTTGATTTTCCCTATTTGGGTTTATAAGGGACCTCTATATATAAATATGTTTCAGAGGGTTTAAAGGCCAACACAGGTAAGGATTGTTCTCAAGGTCCTTGCAAATGGCGGGGTGGTTACCCATAGGATCCATAGTAGTTCCTGTTTGGGATTACCAAGAAGGATTCTAAATGCAAACCACAAAAGAAACTACAATGGAGCCTGTTGTTAAGGTCTGGAGTTTAGGATTTGGGGTTGTTCCGAGTGTCGCTTTGAAGGCTCGTTTGGGATTATGAGGCTTACGCATTGTTTATAGGCAGGGTGTGGTAAGGGGTTTATGAATTTCAATGAGGCTTTATGGGTTGTTGTGCAAGTCTATGTAAAGGAAAATCCGTGTGAACTACTTAACAGATGTTTCAACGGGAGATCCCCACCGGCGCGGGACGTGCACGAGGGAGAATGGGAACCTCTCTATGGTGGTCCCTTATCCATTTGCTTCCCAGGACCTTATCTGGTTCGTGTTGGATAGAATTTACATGCTTGTTATAATAAAGCCCAATAAGGGTTCAACATGATCATTTTCAATATAGCCCCAACAGGGAACAAGTTCTAGTTAGGGCCCTAGACCGTTTAAATAAGCAACGCTTTGTTATGATATTGGAGTCTTTGGGTGACGGAGGTGTGGATGGGGTTCAGTCAATTCAGCAGGTGGCTATTCTGCGCCCACCAGGCAATCCCTGGTGATGGGACAACTACGACTGCACTTGATAAACCTAGGGCAAATATATGTTATGAGGGCCTGGAGAGGGTTTTGGTGAATTGATAAAGTTGGACCCCGGAGCTTAACTTGGAAAATCTAGATCTCCGAGAAGGCAGCCGCAGAAGGGAAGGCACGCGCCGCCGAAGCCCGTGTGTGCACGTATCCCTGCACGAGGGCAACCTCTTCCCTCACTCTATATGTTTAGATGTAAAATCATATGATATATGTATACATACATGCATACATATACATATACATATACACATACATATACATATACATATACATATACATATACATATACATATACAGATACATTACAGGTGTATATATATATATATGTATACACATATACATACATCTACATATACATAAACATATACACATACATACATACATAC